CTGTCAACATGGACTATTTTAATCCTTATGCTGTAAATAGATAGGAATGTATATCATATGTACGTGTTTTAAATGTTTTATATATTTCTTCAGTTACTTCCTGGTTTCCATGCTTAGGCAAATGATGTCATACAACACAGCAGTCTTCAGGAGGGGAGGGAGGGTTCTCAGCTCAGCCAATGCCTGAGCTGATGGATTCCAGGAAGTAAATGCTACTTGAATCATCTGCCCTTACCTAAGATGGCCACTGCCTTAAATGCCAGGGGGGCATTTTTCAAAGTGATTTCTCATGCAAAATAAAGCATTGAGACATGGATGGATGGGTGAGTTTAGGTCAATCAGCTGGAAGTCCTTCCCGTCACTATTTTTCTCTTGGTGTCAGGAAAACTTGTTAGAAGTGACTCGTGCTGATAGCAGATGAACGAAACAGTGGCAGAAATGACACTTCGTGCTCTGGATTCAGACAAGTACACACTATAGTGGGATATGCTTTGTTCATATTTCATGTCTGAGGTTTGCAACCGTTTTAAGAATCTGTCACTGCCATAGCGACAGGTTCTTAACCACTTGGTAACCGTGCTATAGCCAAATGATGGCTACAGCGTGGTTGCCCAGTTCTGGGAAAGCGTCATATGACGTCCTCCCAAAACGCGCCCTCCCGCTTGCTCCCAGGGGCACGCACACGGCGATGTCCGTGATTGTTGTGTCCTACAGACACAGCTGATTACGTGATGAGATAAAAGGCCAGTCACAGTGGCCTTCTACCGTGTGATCAGCTGTGTCTAATGACACAGCAAATCACGGAGTAAATACAGTTGCCGGTTATCGGCAGCACTTTCCACACACTGTCACAGTGTGAGGAAAGTACTGCCAATAACTGTCAGCTGTCACAGGAGATCGGCACTGATGATCAGGGCACTGATGATCAGTGCTCTGTAGTGCCACCCAGCAGTGCCACCCACCAGTGCCCAGCAGTGCCTCCCATCAGTGCCTAGCAGTGCCCATCAGTGCCCCTAGCATTGCCACCTATCAGTGTCACACATCAGTGCCACCTATCAGTGCCTTCAGTCAGTGCCGCCCGTCAGTGTCGCCCATCAGTGCCACCTACCAGTGCCACATATCAGTGCCCATCAGTGCCATCAATCAGTGCTGTCATTCAGTGCCGCCTATCAGTACAGCATCATCAGTGCCTCCTCATCAATGCCCACCAGTGCCGCCTCATCAGTACCACCTCATCAGTGCAACCTATCAGTGCCCATCAGTGCTGCCTATCCTTGCCACCTCATCAGTGCTGCTTATCCATGCCACCTCATCAGTGCTGCCTATCAGTGCCATCATTCAGTGCTGCCAGTCAGGGCCGTCGGTCAGTGCCTTCAGTCAGCGCCGCCTGTCAGTGTCACCCATCAGTGCCACCTAGCAGTGCCATCAGTGCCACATATATCAGTGCCCATCAGTTCTGCCTATCAGTGCAGCCTCATCAACGCACATCAATGAAGGAGAAAAATTACCTGTTTGATGAAAGAAAAACTTTTTTTTTTCAAATTTTTTTGCTTTTTTTTTTTTGTTTATAGCGCAAAAAATAAAAACACTCAGTGGCAATTAAATACCACCAAAAGAAAGTTCTATTTGTGTGAAAAGAATGCTAAAAATTTCATATGGGTACAGTGTTGCATGACCGCGCAATTGTCATTTAAAGTGCGACAGTGCTGAAAGCTGAAAATTGGCCTGAGCACGAAGGGGGTATAAGTGCCCTGTAGGCTAGTGGTAATAAGAACAATCTGAATTTGCTGCACGCGACAGTAATGTTACTGATATTGGCACAAATGCTTGTCTGAATTATGCGCAGGTAGTTCTGCAGGGATCTAACCCAGGAAAAGTGCAAATAATCCTAGTTTGCCTAATGGCACTTTTCTTGGGGTAGTTCCCTTAAGAACCCCTAGAAATGTGCTGCTATCCTGTTTTTCTGGTAAGCTGTGCATTAAATAAATAAAAATAAAATCACAGGCAAGTAGATGTACCTACATACCAAACATATTAAATATTACTAATGGTTCAGTGTGAACAGCACTGTGTGCTGCCATGTGCAGAATTTTCATAGGCATTTGAGAAGAGTTAAAACACTTCCCAAACTCCTGTCTGACGCCTGCTGACAAAGCTAGTGTGAACTGAGCCTTTATATAACCACATTCATCACTCACCTGAGCCCAACATATCCTAAAACCTTCTCTTCTCTTTTTTACTCCTTTTCCCTATCCCCCCTTTTCTTCTTTTTGTTGTCAACCATCTCTGATATATTTAAAATATTCACATATTATACACATTTATTTATGGTTGATTGCTATGTAACATTTGATATCACAGTTCATTTAATGTATCTTTATATATTGCAATTCTGTATAACTCTGTTTATGTATCCTATCTTTTCAATAAAAATATTGCACCATAAATTCCTGTTAAAATTCTTTTCTTTAGGTAACCTGCGTCTTCTGCCCATAAATTAAGTATATACACCTAGTGTCAAGATTTTCTGTTTAATGAAACTGGATGGGAAAAGTATTTGGTGCGTTTAATCCTCAGTGAAATTAACAAATATCTTTCTTGATACTGTTAGCAGTTAATAGGCATTTTTTTAATCTAGTTATTAGTATTGCAGCACTTGGGGCTGCTATTTACAAAATATAAAAGGATTAGTGTTTTATTGCAAGCAAATAAAGAAAATGAAGTCATAAGATGCTGGGATTATGTATATATTATATATAATAATAGTATGCAATAATAGACATGGGAGCCCTTTTATTTGTAATAATGCTAAAATGAAATGGCACATTTTTTAAAGCAACTGACATCATGCAGATTATTTGAGTATTTTTTTCATATGAAATGATATGACCCCTATTGTGAAAACTGAGATAATGCGTAGTATATATACTGTATGTGATTGTTTTGTAATGTAGTATGTTTCCTAAATTCCCAGTGGCATGGCACTTTTCACACTGAATGCCTATTTCTTCATAGGAAAGATGCCATATTACACAGCTTAATGTTTTTGACTTACATTTTAATATTACAAGGCAGTGTTAAACTATACTGTAACATTCCTTCAGCACATGAAGTTATGAATATTTTGCAACACTTTTTTGTCTTGTCATTACAGATTGAGCCACTAAAGGGCTCTGTTTCCTTGCTTCAATATGTTATGGTGATGATGATGTATTGAGTTGTGACCTACTCAGCTGGGAATAGCTATTTAATGGCTCCTGATGGATTTATACCTTCCGCTCCTGACCACTCTTTCCTCTACCACTAAGCCCAATCAGAGTGAAATGGATCAGAGGGGCATGGCTAGGATGCAGGGATTGCTGAAGTCTGCGTGTTTACAAAGGAACATGATTCTTATGTAGCACCCTCCTAGTTTAGCTAGGGAGAGCTAGACCCTAATGTTTAGTTAGGAGCTGTTTAGCAGCTCAGGTGAGATAGTCAGAACATTCAAACTCTGGTTAGGACTGAGAGACTCTGCAGGCCAGCCAGACTGGAATGTCCCCCTGCTCTGAGGCTTTCAGAGAAGGCCCTTGGAGGCAGCGGGTGGATCTGAGGAGTGGTTGGCTGCACTCTTTAGGGACCTTAGCCAATCCCAAACAGAAGGCTTGGCAAGGGGCTAGATTCCCTTAATTGTGTAAAAGCCTGCTTAGTAGCAGGTGTGTGGTAGGAGAGGAGTGTGAAGCAGCAATATGTGAGGTTGGAGGAGGAAGGCTGCCAAGAGGCCTAGTGGGATGGGGTCTACCTGTGAGCTTGGAGCTGGAAAGGAGGAAAACTCAGGGCTCACTGGCCCCCTGAGCGATCACCACCTGTATGGCAGGGAAGGAGCAGATCAGCTGACAGGCCTGGTAGCAGCAGCCTTTCTGCAAGCTGTACAGGGAAGGATCTGAGTGGGAACACCTACACCCCCTGGGCAGATAGGGGAAGGAGCCCTCTGGTGGGAAACCAGATTAGCTCTGTGCTAGTGACTCTGAACTTTATATAAAGAAACAGGTGCCAGATCCCCTGCTCAGGAAGAAAGACTCCAGATTGCTGAGCGAAGAGGTGTCCATCTAGGGTCTGGGGTAGTACAACTGGAGCTGCTGGCTAGCTTTTCAACAGAGACTGTGACAGAGAAGAGAAGCTGTGAATAGTTCAGGAAGTTATCCTCAGATATCAGTTCCTTTGGGCATCCTATACACCCCTTACCCTATCCAAGTTCTAACCCTCTCAATAAAACAACAAAACAAATGCACAAGGACTGATTTCTGCCTACTGATGAGAGCTTGTGTGGAAAATACTGAATGACTGGCTGTGCAGGACTATAGGAGGACCCATATTCATCAGCAATCCCTAAGGGGTAGTGCTACACTTAAATGTTGAAATAAAGCAAGTGTTAAAGCCTTGCTGATGTAGGTAAATAAAGAGTAAGCATATGATTAAAATATTTTGCTGAATAGCATGGTCTCAGTCTGAAGGTTTCAGACTAGCTGATCTTCAGCAGAGATCACATGAACAAGTGCATGAATCTTGAAGCACTGAAGAAAGCCTGTAGCAGTATTTTCTCCTGCAAAAGTAAGCATTTTAAAACTTCCCATTACTCTTTATGTATCCGCTTTCAGCGCTGTCGCACTTTGATTGACAATTGCACGGTCATGCAAGATTGTACCCATATGAAATTTTAAACATTTTTTTCTCACAAATAGAGCTTTCTTTTGGTGGTAATTAATTGCCGCTGGGCACTTTACTTTTTGCACTATAAACAAAAAAATTGCAAACAATTTGAAAACAAATAAAGTTTCTTTGTTTCTATTATAAAATTTTTCAAGCAGGTAATTTTTCTCCTTCACTGATATGCGTTGATGAGGCAGCACTGATGGGCACTAATAGGCGGCACTGATAGGCACTGATAGGCAGCACTAATGAGGTGGCACGGATAGGTGGCACTGATAGGCGGCACTGATAGGCAGCACTAATGCGGTGGCACGGATAGGCGGCACTGATAGGTGGCACTGATAGCTCTGATAGGTGGCACTGACTGGCGGCACTGCTAGGCATTGACTGGCACAACTGCTGGGCACTGACTGGCACAATCACTGGGCACTGACTGCTGGCACTGACTGGCAGCACTGCTGGGCTGCACTGATGGGCACTGGTGGGCACAGGTGGGTGGCACTGGTGGGCACATGTGGGTGGGCACATGTGGGTGGCACTGCTGGGCACAGGTAGGTGGCACTTCTGAGCACAGGTGTGTGGCACTGCTGGGTGGCACAGGTGGGTGCACTGCTGGGCACAAGAGGGTGCACTGCTAGGCAAAGGTGGATGCACTGCTGGGCACAGGTGGGCGGAAATGGTGGGTGGCACTGCTGGGCACTGATCATCAGTGCCCTGATGATCAGTGCCGATCCCTGCTCTGACAACTGCCGGTTCTCGACAGTACTTTCCTCGCGCTCTGACAATTGCATTTCCCGGTGATTAGCGTGTCATTGGACACGGCTGATCACGTGGTATAAGGCCGCTGTGATTGGCCTTTTACCACATCACGTGATCAGCTGTGTCCGTAGGACACAGCGATCATGGAGATCGCCGGGTGCGCGCCGCAGTGTAGCCGTCATTCGGCTGTCTGCGGTTGGCAAGTGGTTAAAACCTATTCTAATGTCAAATTATTTTCAGAGCCATGCATGCAGACATTTAGGTAGTTCCAATTGGTTCCCACAGTTTTTATTGACCATGTACTGTATGGTAAGCAGACTAGTAATAGAACAGTAAATCTCATGGGTTATTTCTAACAATGTAATATTATCTGTAAACTGGGTGCATAAATGTGTCAAATGTAAAGCCTAGTCTTTACTAATTATGAAATTCCTAATATGGGTACATTTGGTCTTACTTTTGTTCATTTTAGTTTTGCCCTGGCAAGATATTGCTGCATAGGACTTTCAATGATTTCTTAAGCTAAGATTGCACTTTAACATATCTGTGTGTTTCAGTAATCAGTTATCGTTAAATGAGTAGTGTATCAAGGTCAATAGTTATTTACTTAAAAAAAATCTGTTCTGAGCTTTATTTAAATAACCTATACATTAACAGGTTTTAAGAACTAGAATGTACATATTATATATTAATATGAACACATTTTCGTAGCACAGTTCTAAAAATATACTTTGCCATTTGCTGATCTGAACATAATTGAATTACTTAATTATTCATATAAAGGCAGTCCCCAGGTTACGAAGATAGGTTCTTTAGTTTTGTTCTTAAGTTGAATTTGTATGTAAGTTGGAACAGGTACATTTTTTAAGTGTATCTCCATCCAAAAAAAAAGTTTTGGTTAGCATAGGGAAGGGTTAACTGGCCATGCAGTGATGGGGGATTGCTGACAGGTCTGCTGGAGAGTAGGTGGCAGCATGCTTTGAGCAGCAAGATGGTGGCCTGGTGTTTTCCTGGAACAGTGTGTCCCTGTCTCCGTTCTTAAGTACGAGTCGTATGTAAATCAGATGTTTGTAACCTGGGCACTGCCTGTATAGGTGAAGCACTACTCCCTTGTTATTAATAACTAACCCACAAACTACAAACAAAAAAATAGTGCAATACACAAAAAAAAGCCCACAATATACCTTTTCAAGCACAAGTTTAGTCCAAAAATTATATAAGGAAAAGCATTTACATGTAATCCTTGTCACGGAAGCTGCACCCTTGGCGCACCATGTCATATTTATTAAACCTGGACCTTGAGAGCCATCCTTATTATACACAGTGTGTTCATTTGAATATATCTCTGTGTGCCCCCTTTGTGAACTGTTTAACACATAATGGACCAGGACTCATCCTCTTGTATGGATCTTAAATATATTTGTATTAGCAAGGTCAAATGTGCTGTTTACCCGCATAAGGGTCAATAATCATCTTTGGAACATGGCTTTGCTCCACTCCTTTAATCGCAATGGGTAATAAACGTATAAAGTATAGAACATAAAAAAAAACATACAGTGTAATCCAGTTTTAATCATTTTTTTTAAAGTGTGAAACCACACTTTCTTAAAAGGTGTGCTTGATCCATGCAATCAAAACTGAGCATGAGATAATACACACACTGCTCTAGCCATTTTCAGTCTTCCAGCATGTGCGCTCATGTCGCCATACTCCACCCTACACATTATAGGAGATTTACTAAAACTGGTTGACTCAGAATCTTGGGCACCTGTGCATGGTAGCCAATCAGCTTCTAACCTTAGCATGTTCAGTTAAGCTTCAGCAATAAAACCTGGAAGCTGATTGGTTTTTATGCAGAAGTGGACAAGATTCTGAGTCAACCAGGTTTAGTAAATAAACCCCATTATGTCCACTGTGGAAGGTATTGTGTAGTGGGCAAGTCAGACCTCGATATGCAGTGGGTCTTTTCTCAGCATGCAAGCCATGTCCCAGCATTTCTGCTCTTATCTTTTATAACAGCTTTGAGATTAAAACTATGAAAAGATTTTTAAGCTATTATTTTTAATGTTGTCAAGTTTAGCAATAGATCATATTAAAATGTGTCTCAAGTTCAACTTGAAGCTGCCAAACAGTTAATGAGAAAAGGCTTTTTTTTTCATTAACTGCCTAAAATAATAGCATAAAAATCTTTTCATAGTTTAATTCTCAAAGCTGTTGCAAAAGACAAGAGCAGAATTATAGTGACATGACTTGCATGCTGATCAAGGTCCGACTGGAAATTGAGGTATCATATGCCTACATGCATAACACCTCCTGCAGAGAACATAAAGGGTGGAGTCTGGTGAAAAAAGTAAGCATGCTGGGAATGGCTGGAGATGCACAAGTGGTGTTTGCATTACGTGATACTCAGTTCAAAGTGTATGGATCAAGTGTACACATGCACACTATGTACAGTGAGGAACAGAAGTATTTGAACACCCTGCGATTTTGCAAGTTCTCCACTTAGAAATCATGGAGGGGTCTGAAATTCACATTGTAGGTGCATTCCCACTCTGAGAGACAGAATTTAAAAAAAATTTCAGGAAATCACATTGTATGATTTTTAAAGAATTTATTTGTCTTGCACTGCTGGCACATAAGTATTTGAACACCTGAGAAAAATCAGTGTTAATATTGGTACAGAAGCCTGTTTGCAATTACAGAGGTCAAACGTTTCCTGTAGTTCTTGCACAGTTGCACCACACTGCAACAAGGATTTTGGCCATTCCACACAGATCTCCTCTATACTGTCAGGTTTCGGGGCTGTCACTGAGCAACATGGAGTTTCAGTCCCTCCAAATATGTTCTATTGGATTTAGGTCTGGAGACTGGCTAGGCCACTCCAGAACCTTGATATGCTTCTTAAGGTGTTCTTGGGATGCAACTCATCCTTCTTTCTCCTCCAAAACGAGTGAAGTTTAGACAAAAAAGTTCTACTTTGGTCTCATCTGACCACATGACTTTCTCCCATGCCTCCTCTGGATCATCCAGATGGTCATTGGCAAACTTCAGACAGGCCTGTGATGACTTGAGCAGGGGAACCTTCCGTGTAATGCATGATTTGAAACCATGACGGTGTAGTGTTCTATCGACAGTGACCTTTGAAACTGTGGTCCCAGCTCTCTTCATGTCATTGACTAGCTCCTCCCTTGTAGTTCTGGGCTGATTCCTCACCTTTTTTATCATCAGTGATATCCCACGAGGTGAGATCTTGCAAACCCCAGTCCGAGGGAGACTGACAGTCACTCTTTAGCCTCTTCCATTTTCTAACAATTGCTCCAACAGTTGATCTATTTTCCCCAGAACTGCTTGGCAATTGCCCCGTAGCCCTCCAGCTGTGTGGAGGTCCACAATTTTGTCTCTGGTGTCTTTTGACAGCTCTTTGGTCTCTCCCATGGTAGTAGTTGGCGTCAACTGACTGTGGGGGTGGACAGGTGTCTTTAAAGAGCTCAGACAGGTGCTACTAAGTTAGATTAAAGTGGAGTAGAGGTGGACTTTTTAAAGGCACAGTAACAGGTCTTTGAGAGGCAGAATTCTTGCTGTTTCTTAGGTGTTCAAATACTTATGTTCAGCAGTGCAAGACAAATAAATTCTTTAAAAATCATACAATGTGATTTCCTGATTTTTTTTTTTAATTCTGCCTCTCAGAGTGGGAATGCACCTACAATGTGAATTTCAGACCCCTCCATGATTTCTAAGTGGGAGAACTTGCAAAATCACAGGGTGTTCAAATACTTCTGTTCCTCACTGTATGCAAAACAGATTGGACTTGAAGTCCAGATTCAAAAAACGTGAAATAGTGCACAAATGATGTACACAAGTTTGGAAACACATTTATAAAAACACAGTAGATATGAAAAGAAAGTGTAGTTTTCATTTTTTACACAAAAAATATGTTTTTTCTTCTGTAAACTTTGAACTAAATGTATGTCAAGTATGTGGAAATGCGTGTTTTTTTAAAATTTTATGTGATTGTTTTGTATTGCTCTATTTTGGCTAGTTGGGTTAGTAATAAATAGGGCTGAGTGAATGTGCCTGAGTTCAATTTGCGAGGGACCTGTCAAATCCTTCATAAAGTCCAAAAAATCCAAACTTAAAATCAAATTACTGAAGTTTATGGTCAATCTTGATAATCAGTTATGGCTGTTTGTACGGCTAAAAGGCACAGGAATGTAAAAAAAAGGGCATGAATGGAAATGTCACCACTGCCATAAGGTACATTTACCAAAGAATACAAAAAATAGAAAAGTGGTACAGTGAGAGAGGGCCCTCCTGCTAATGCGACTGCAAGGGTTATGTGGGAAATATCCTAACTCTTAAAGGATAAGTTCATCTTTCCAGAAGAAATAATAAATGCACATATTTTTGCGGAAAAAAAATGTGCATTTATAAATTTTTCCTGCAAGAGTCTGGAAAGCATTGCCCCTGTGATCAGTAGTTCAGGGGTGGAATGTCAGGCTTCTTCAGACAAGCCCTACAGCTTTCTGCCTGTAAGTGTTGTCTGTTTGAAAGCTGCAGGATTTGTGAATGAACTATGAAAACACTCCTCAGAGCCCTCACAGTTCATTCGGAACTGCAAGCTGTCAGCTGTTGTTAATGATGGGACTTGTAGTTCATTCATTCACAGGAAGCTGTGAATGTCCCCATAGTCTTCTGGGACCTGTCACGTGGTCCAGAAGACTACGGGGAGAGAGGGGGGGAGGACTACTTCCAGTTCCAATCGCCTAGGCGATCGCAGTGGGAGCGGGTACCTGTCAAATTCGGGTTGCCACCCCCACGCACCCCAAAGGTGCCAATCCTTAATGGGGAGCTGGGGACAAAGGCTGAAAGTGGAACTTCTCCTTTTGGTTGAAGATAAGCTTTAAGAAATAGAAATTGTTGGGTAGTTTTGGCTACAACACCTGAT